TCCTGGCTGGAAAACTCCAAGCCATCTCCCCTTTTCCCACATTCTCCACATCCAAGCAGCTGCCAAGACTCATTGATTTTAATGCTAACTTTTCCCTTGCATGTGTCTTCTCTCTTCTGCTTTCCCTATCCCTGCCATCATTCTGCATTTGTCCTTTCTTGGCTCAACTATGGCAATAATGTCCTCAGTGTCTGCCTGTCACTGGTCCTTTTCTTTTCCCAGTCTTCTGCTCCTAGACCCGAGCCCTGGCCTGTCCTTGGAGAGCGACTGGCCTCACGTGATTGGAGCCAGTTAAATATGAAATAGAGGCAGACCACATGGTTGCTTCCCCAGCAGCTCACCCCCTTCTTCCCTGCTTACAGACCCCAGTTTAGTGCAGTTGCAGGTGAATAGGGCCCCGTTCTAGTCCTAAGAGCGTGACACCTCACTGTTTTAAACCAATCACGGTGATGAGGATACCATGCCCCTTGCCGGTGATTGGCTCAGGAATAGGGGCGGCACAAAATTCTGGCCAATGAGATGTGATGGGAAGACTGCCAGGGGAATTCTGGGAAAGACTTCCTTGCTCTGCAAAGGGGAGAAGTAAGAAGTCCTGCTCTGCGGCTGCTTCTTGCTCTTGGTCTTCCTGTGATGCCTGGAGCTGTGCCAGACGTTTTCAGACCGTGACGGGAGATGAGCCACCTCAAGCTGTTGATGGCAGGAAGGAAAACGGGAAAGAACCTGGGCGCATCATAATGTGGAACTGCTGAACTGAATCACACCTGCGGTTGCCCTCCCTCTGGGCTTCTTGTGTGAGACAGTCAGTGTGTAGAAGGTTCTGTGTTGGATTTCTCCGACTTGTAGCCATAGGCAGTCTCACTGCTGAAAACACCGTGATAAGATCTACTGGTATAACAGGTGGCCTGGCTGGGCCACAGCTGCCGCGTGGACACTGCTGGCACCGAGGGTACCTTGTTCTCCAAGGTTCTGTTTGCTGGTGTCAGTGTGGGTGGGGCTTGTTGGCTTAGAGGGGAGGGTTGGGGTACAAGCAGTGGTACAAGAGAGGGAGAAATGAGGAGAATGGGAGCATAATGATTGTCCTCTTCTTTCCCTCCCCTCACCCCACCCTCGGTCTGCTCTAGGAAATCAGCTGTGAGCCTTGTTGGAGAGAGTTTTGGGCCAGGAGCTGGAAGTCATGTTCATGAAAGACGTTGGGAGACCCTGAGCCCAAGCTGTTTCAGAGTCGAGCAGGCAGGGAAAAGTGGCAGCAGGGGGAGTGTTAGGAAGCTCCGCAATAGTCCAGGTGGAGATCGGAAGGAGGCCTGGCCCAGGACAGTGGCCGGTGGCGGGTAGTGGGGTGGGCTAGCTCCCCCCGTGGGAAGGGAGGCAGAGGCACGCGCCCACTGAGGGCCTCGGCAGGGAGCGTGACCACAGAGCCTGGAGCCCGGCCTGGCAAGCTGGGAGTGATGGATCCGGACGTGCCCTTTGGCTCCTTGAGTTGTCACAGTGCTGGGGCCAGAGCAGATCATGGGGGATGTCACATGAGCCAGAGGATGGGGGGGCATGACAGAGCCCTTACTCCCTCTCTCAGTTTGGAGGTGGACCTGGGAACAAGTAACAGGTCTGGGAGGTGGGCCTCAGGTCTAAGGCAAGTCAGGAGTTCCTGGCAGAAGCTAGGCTGGTGGAGGCAGAGGTGGGCAGAATCCTCAGGAAGCATCTTGCTTGGATTTTGAACCCGCCAGGGCTTGATGGTAGGGGACTTCTGGTACCTCTTGCATTCACAGCTGTGCCTGCCACCAGGAGAAGGCAGCCTTGTGGTTTTGTGCACACACCCAGGGGCCTGGGCATCTAGCAGGGAAAGGCCCCAGATCTGCAGCCTGGAGTTGCTTCCTAACCGCCACCTGGAATTTCCTGAGGTGACACAAGGCCTTTCCATGTTGGCTTCCTCCTTCCTCAGTCCAACCGGCGTGTTCAGATGCAGCGGGAGTCTGGCCCTGGTGCTGGTGACAGGTGGGTACCTGCAGCTGGATTCTGTTGCCATAGCAACGAAGTAGGGACAACTGCCCCAGAGCTCGGGGGCTGATTGGGCCACAGGGCCAGCCCGCTTTCCTCTGTCAGCACGTCTTCCGGGGCACTGTTGCGTGAAAGTGTCCGGGATGAGACAGGAATTTTCTGACAGGCAGTTTAAGTGGGTGGGATATGAGAGGTTTGACCCCAAAGTTGTGTTCCCTTTTCCCTTCTTCATATATACCTGCCACGGCCAGGCACAATATGCAGTTTCCTGTCTCCTTGTCAACTAGCAGCAGCCACCAGAAAGAGAACCCACTTCCTGTTGACAGCCAGAGTTGTGGAGAATAAAGTGTGTTTGTTTCAGAGCATTATTCAGAGCGGTCTGAAAGATTTACTGATGCTCTGTCACATGGCCTATCATTGGACTTAGGACGTCTTAGTCATCTCAGGCTACCATAACAAAATCCCACAGACTGGGTGGCTTAAAAAATAAATGTTTATTTCTCTGGGAGGCTGGGAAGTCCAAGATCAAGGTGCTGGCTGATTCAGTTTCACGTGAGGACTCTATTTCTGGCTTGCAGAGGACCACCTCCTTGCCATGTGCGCACATGGCCTTTTCTTGGAGTGTGTGGGGAGAGAGCGGGCAAGCTCTCTGGGTTCTCTCCTTATTAGGGTACCAGTCCCATCACGAGGGTCCTACCCTCTTGACCTCATCTAACCCTAGTTACCTCCCAAAGACTATCTCTCTAAATACTATCACATTCAGGGTTGGAGCTTCAACACAGGAATATTGGGTGAATATAAACATTCAGTCCATCACATGGGGTCACACAAATTGAAAGTAGCCCTTCAGTATCTATCAGGAAACATTTATTTTTTCATTCATTTATTCATCTATTCATTCATTCAAGAATTTTTTTGAATGCGAGACACTGTTCAGTGTCCCAGAGATGTAGCAGTGAACAAAACAAACAAAAAATCCCATGCCATGAAACTTACCTTGTAGTGGCAAGAGATGGGAAAGTGAATAAGTAAGCAAGTAATTATAGAACCAGTGGGTGACAAGTGCAATCAAAAAAGCATAGAGCAGGGGGAGAATGATGGGGATGCTGGAGGGGGATTTGCTCTTCTTAGAGAGCGATCAGGATGGCCTGCTGGACAGGGGCATTGGAACAGGTTTGGTGACGGCTGTGAGAGTGAGTCTTGCAGATTTTCTACCACAGAGAGCGTAAATGGCCCAGGGCCACAGTTGCTAAGCTTTGAAATCTGTTACTGCCTTTATGTCAAGGTTATGTCTTCCACTGCTGCTCCCTGCCGATGACTGACTGACCTCTCCTGGCAGACCGGGACCCCTTGTCAGCAAACCTTTGACTCAGGGATTTTGCCAAAACATCCTGAGACTACAATGAACTCTAGGACCCCTCCGTTCTGTCTTCTCCCTTCTCTCCTTCCCTTGGGGTCAGACTTGTGTCACCATCAGACCACAACCCCAGTCTTTCCCTGCTCCCTTCTTATTTCCCATCATAAAGACATTTCCATCAATAAAAGCCTGGCATAATTAACCCCATCTCAGCCTCTGCTTCCTAGAGGACCAGGAGTAACACAGATTTGAAGGAAGTTAGCGAGGAAGCCCTATGATTGCCGAGGGAAAAGTGTTCCAGGCTGAAGGAATGGAAGCTGCAGAGGCCCTGAGGCAAGAGCAGGGCTGACTTGTGTTAGATCTGGGCTTTGGTTTTACCACAGGTACATACTACATGCGAACAAGGTAGCGGATTACCACTTCATGGTGCTGGCAGGAGACACAGGACTCCTGGGTCTAAGACAAAGGACTTCAGTTCTCATGGACCAGCAACACGTTCCATTGGTAGAAACCAGTCAACAGGGCAGTCCAGATTCAAGGGGAGGGAGGAGGGACTCTGCCTCCTGCTGGGAGGAGCTGCAAAGTCAGGTTGCCAGGAGGCCTGGGTAGGGGAAGGAGAGTAATTGCAGCCAGTTTTGCAAAAAACTGCCTCCATGAAGACAGAAATTTGGAGATTCAGGAGATTGAGGACACAGAGAAAATTCCCCAAATGATCAACCCAACCCCCTGGGAGTCTTAAGTCTTTAACCTTTCCTGCATCTGACTCCGGCCTGACCATCCACCCTGCCAAGGGCCAGCTGCTGCCACCCTGTGGGGCTCGGAGGGAACAGAGCCACCACCTTCCCTGCTGGCCGGGGAAGCTGAAATCGATCACGTGAGCCTCCGTTTTTTCACACTCTGTTTGGGCGACGGCGGGAGCGGGGAAGGGTGAGGACAGCCCGTGAGCAATGTGCTCTGCCTACTCTCACCTCCACCGTAACCACTCTCCGCTCACCACCGGCACTTGCCCGGCCGCGGGGATCCGGCTTGCCACCGCATTAGGAAAGCAATTTGTTCATGCAGAACGTGCCGCTGTTGGAAGTTCCTCTCTCATCATTAACTAATTTGCTGTGCTTTGTCGCAGCCCTTGCTATCTATAACCATGGTAACAATGCAAAGAGCTGTACATGCATTTATTTTGGACTCTCGAAGCCCAAGCATAGTCTATTTCTGGCTCTTGGTTTCAGAGGGGCTGGGTGGGTCTGGAGGGGTGGGGCTGGAGTCCGGGTCCCGCCCTCAGTCCTGTGCCAGTCACTGCGTGATCTCAAGCATGAGCTCCTCCTCTGGGGCCTCAGTTTCCCTATCTATGAGATGGGGGGTTGGGGTCAGTGGTCTCTGAGGACTCTTCCAGGGGTGTCCTGTGTGTCTTCAGGATCTAGAGGGGAGTTCCCTGGCCCACCCGGCAGGCTGTGAGCTGGCTGCGAACGTGGGGATGTAAGCAGTGACTGCTGCAGCTGACGGTCCCCTCTTCCTGCTAATTTGGTGTCCTCACTATATAATTATACTGTGAAATTCCCTGACTGAAGATTTTTTTTTAAAATATCCTTCCCTAACTCCCACCACTCATTGCCCAGATTCGTGAATGGGGAAAGTGGGTGTTTGCAGCTTTTGGCAGAGAACGAGGGATGTTATGCAATCTGCCCTTCTCCATTTCCCTGGCACCACCCCCACTCTGGGATTCAGGAAGGAGGAGGAGGGCTTTTCAGAATGGGAGGTGTGGATTTTGACCTCTCTGGGCCTCAGTTTTCTCATCTGTCAAGTGGGGGGGGGGAGTATCTTCCTTATGGTGTGATGTGAAAAGACAGCACACTGTGCCTTCTGACCACAGGGAGTAGGATGGGAATGTGGGCTTTCTCCCTGCTCATGTGATCTTAGGCTGGTACCATCACTCCTCAGTTTTCCTATCTCTAAATGGGGTCAATCATAAGTATCTGACAAGGAGGTTGTAGGGGTTAAAACAAACCCCTCAAATCCTTGGTATTGGGTGGGTGCTCAGCCGCTGGTTTTTATTGTGACTGTCAGCAAAGGCGCGGTGTCCTGTTAACGCCCTGCAGGGTCCTTGTAGATAGGGTGTGTCTTCCTGCTGGCTGTGGGCGGGGTCGCCAGTCCCAAAAGACGTGGCCAGAGCTGGCAACTAATGGAGCTGTCAGCCCGATTCAGAGCACTCCTTGGAGCTCCCCAGAGGCAGGTGCTGATGCCACATCGATGAGCCACGTTCCCCTGATGCGCTCCTGACATTTCCTGCCTGCCTTCCCCGGCCTGCCTGCCCGGGTCAGCGGTCACACTGAGTCACAGCCGCTCCCTGCAGGCTCTGGCCGCCCACTGCCCCGGGGCGCGGGGCGGGAGGAAGCTGGACCGAGTCAGTGCACTGGTAGGTGGCTCTTTCTCTATATTTATATTCTAAAACTTCATAATTTTTTTTTGTTTAACATGTGTATTGTTATTATTCTAAGAGGAAGAAGACACTTGGAGTACTTCGACCATTACTGATCTACTAAACATGTCAGCACGTGTTTGTTTAAACACAGATGAAGGTCTGGAGGGAACCACCAGGAGTTTGAATTGTTACCTCTGGGGCAGCGACGGGGTGGGGGAGGTGGGGGGCTGGTGGGGTGGTGGGGGGTGGGCTGAGGCTTTCCCTTCTTCATAGACCCGCAGAAAGTAGTGGGATTAGCAGCCTTTTGGTTTGAGTGAGTGCTCTTCTGTAGATTTTATGTTTAAAAATTAAGAAGCAAAAAAACAAGATGAGTTGCTTTGGAACTGGAAATGAATTTTCAAAATTTGAAAAGAGAGGATGTTGGAAAGCCTTTTCAGGAGGACGTACCCCTCCATCACCTTTGAACGTTTCGACTGGGCTGATCTCCAAAACAACGCCCCATGCTTTCTGGGGGTGAATGTTTCTCATGACTCTTCTCATTTCGCAAGTGAGACGGTGCAGCCTCTGTGCTGGGACCTTTGTCCGCAGCATCGAGCTTGCCCTGTCTCAGTTCTGTGAGGTGGGTCTTTCTTCTGCCTTCCTACGTGGAGGGAAGGAAGGTTCAGAATGTGGCTCTCTGCAGCCCTGCCTCCTTTCAAGGGCCAGGCTGAACGCAGGCTTAAGTCCTTGCCATGTGCGCAGCCTCTTTGGGGAAAGATGCTCTGCAGTGCAGACCCCTGGGCGGGCCACCCCAGTCCCCACTCCAGAGAAAACTTGAGGAGTGGTGTGCTTCCTGTTTCAGGTGACTCTCTCTCCTTGGACCTGAGGGAGGTCTAGCCAGTGTTGACTTGTTTCAGGGGGGACTGCAGAGAGAGGGACCATGCCTCTCGCCACTTCCCTGGATTCTCGGTGTTTCCTCGGGTTAACATCAGCACATCGGCCCTTTCACCTGAGGTTAGCAGTTTTTAAAAGCAGAGACCGAAAGCCTGCCTTCTGGTTGTGTGCACTGCCAGGATGGGACCAGAGAAGGACAGACAGCCATGGGCTCTCCTCAGTGGCAGACTATGTGTGGATATGCTGACTTGCTTCGGTGGAGTCTCAGTGAAGTTTTTGAATCCTAGCTCTACATTAATTGGCTCTGTGATTTGGAGGAAGTTACCATACCTATCTGAGCTCAGTTCCCTCATCTATAAAAGAGCAATTCAATGTACCCCTCAGAACTGAAAGAGGACTCCATTTCATGAGATCCAGGATGTAGGGTGCCCGGCGTAATGAATGTTAGTAATAATGGTCAGAAGATCACAAACAGTACAAAAGGGAAAGGTTCTGTGCCAGGCAGTGAGGGCAAAGCCTCTGCCTGTGTGTGAGAGAAAGAGCACGTTCTCCAGCCCACGTTGTTACAGGGAAGGGGGCCGGGTATCGTGGGATCTGACTCAAACTCGGCCACTTGCCTGCTGGGTGACTTTGGGTGGGTTCCTTGCCCTCTCTGGGCCCCAAAGCTGAACATCTTTATGGAAGGTGCCCATATCTGTGGTGTTTCCCATCCCTGCTGACCCTTCTCTCCTTGTGCAGGAGCCATGGTATCCAGGAGAAGGAGGGAGCAGCCGCTGCCTCTGTCCCCCCAGGTCCTAGGGGAAGCTGCCTGTGCACTGCAGCCTGCTGCATTTCCAAGCCAACCTGGCACGAGGCCCCTTGGTGCGCTGCCCTGGCTCTGGCTGCCCCAGACTTGAGTCCTTCCTGGATCACACTGACCTCAGAGCCCCAGGCCCCATGTGGACCTGCTCACAGGCCTGAGGTTTGGCTCTCAGATGCCCCATTTCAGTTTGGGTCCATCACTCTGCCTGGTTCTTCTGGGATGTTACACCCTGCTCTGGACACCCCTGCACCCCAGCCCCTTCTGCCAGCCAGCTGACCCGCGGCTCCCGAGGAAGTGGCAGCAGTCTCTTCTGGAGTGTGCAGACGTGGCTGTGCTTCCTCTGGCACTGTGCTGGGCTGGCAAATGACCCCTCTCCCCTGGGATCACAGCTCCCTTTCCAAAGATCGGTCCTTCCTTGGCCTCTGGCAGTGGGTTGCTATGAGCCTTGCACGCCTTTCCTCCAAGCCCTGCCCCGACCCCGGGCCCACAGTGCTCCACAGGGCGGAGGCCACCCCAGGCCACCTTTGTCCCTTCATGCTCCTCCCTTCAGCTCTTCAGGACTGGGGGCCACCAGGAAGGCCCAGATCTGGTCCCAGGAATGCACTTCAAACTGCCAGCGCCCCCAGCAGCTGCAGCAGTAGCTCAGCCAGCCAACTAGGGCACTGACAGGAAGATGGGGGCGGCATGGAGACCACATTTCCTCCCACTGCCTGAGCCCCTGAGCCCCGATGGCAACACCAGCCCAGAGCCCGTGAGCAGCAGGGCTGGTCTCAAGGTGAGACCAGTGAGAAGCACGTGGAAATGCCCCCCAACCCCACTCCTTCCCCCAAAGCTGTGTGTGAGCAGGTGCCAAATCCCAAGGCGGGGCAGCACATGGCGGGGCAGGAGCTGAAGTCCACAGGGAGCTGCCGCTGAGGACAGTCTCACCTCAGCAGCTGTGGAGACGGGATAAGGTCTCCTGAGCCCCTGCCCAGGGCTCTCCCACACCTTATGGCACTGACTGCTCTGAAGTGGCCAGTAGCTGCCTCTGTCTGGTGGATCTTCATCAGGTCCACCTCAGGTGTGGCTTCTGGGAGATTTAAATTCTCCGAGCTGCCCCGGTGCCCAGCCTTGGGCTGTTTTCTCTACACCATGCTGAGCTGGCAGGTGACTGTGCTGGGACGGACCTCTGCATGGGTCAGGTGCCCCTTCTCCAAACTACAGCCTGGCCCCAGAGCCGGCAATAGACATAAAGGAAGAAATCCAATGAGCCGGGTAATAGTGGAAATTAATAGTGGTAATTAATTGCTAAGAGCATGCAGAGACCATGGCAACGACGGTTGGATGACAGAGGCACAAACCTTATTTCCTTTCAGGGCTGCGCTCCAAAAGGCTCCATTTCTTTGTAAACAGCTTGCAGTAGCTTTGTGGAGGTGCCAAGTGCCCTGGGTCTGAGCCCCCTCCTTGAGTAGAAAACACTGGGGTCAGCCTTGAGTCAGTGCCCCGTCTGCCATGCTCTCCCTCGCTGTGTCATCCTGGGCAATTCACTGTTCATCTCTGAGCCTTTTTCCATCTCTATAGTGGGGAGAACAAACCCAATTGACAAGAGCTTTTGAAGAGTCCACAGGTGACCTAACGTGAGAGGGAGATGGACTGGAGCCAGCCTACCTGAGTTCATTTCTGGCACCATCATTTATTAGCTGTGTGACCTTGGGTCAGGGCATCAACCACTCTGAGCCTCAGTGGTCACATCTGTAAAATGGGGTGATAATAATAGTACCCATACCAAAGGTTGTTATGAGGACTAAATGAGATGATAAATACAAAATGCTAAGCACGTACAGCTTAACTGCACTTTCAGTGTACTATATACCTGTAACAGCACTCTGTTGTGAAATGTTTATAGGGTCTCAGCTCTGTCCGTAATAAACCTATTAAATTATTACTAGTAACAGCAACTTTTATTGAGTGCTCACCATGTGCCAGGTGCTGTTCTAACTCCTTTAAGTGTATTAATTCACTTAACAACCTGTAGAAGTAGGTACTATAATTATCCCTGTTTTACAGACGAGGACACAGGTTTAGAGCTTGGTGACGGAGTGAAGCAAAACTCTGAGAAGTTATCCGGAAAACTAACCAAGGCAGGTAGCCCATGTGGTTAAGCCCAGTCACCCCGGCACGAACTGCTCCCCTGCACGTTCTGACATGAGTGGTGGCTGCCTGAGGTGCCCTGTCCTGTCTGGGTGGACAAAGGCTCAGCGCCCCCACCTGGCTCTGCTGCAGGGCTCAGCCCTTCCCAGCGCAGGAACGCTCCCATCCAAACCTGCTCCTTTCCCTCAGCCCGTAAGTTGCTTAATGATACATCACCCTGACCTCTCCCAGACTTTGGGTGCCATCCTAAACAGGGCTGATAAGAGCATTCTGGGCAGAGGGAACAGAGTGTGAACAAGGGCACGAGGCAGGACGTGGCGTTGAATTCTTAGGAAAATGCAAGTGACTGCCCATGAATGGATTGTTTGGGGCTGCACAGGGGGTGTGTTGGGGAGCCCTGGAGGGGAGGGGAGAGGAGGTCAGCAGGGTCTGGAGACGCAATTCCCATCCTTATATGCATGAGGGATTAACCCCAGGAGCTTTAAAAATGCCAAGGTCTGGGCCCCACCCCAGAGGTACTGACTGACTGAATCATGGAATTTTTCAAAGCTTCCCAGTTGATTCTAATACCAGGTTCACACCGGATGATCTATGCAAGGAAGTGTAAGCCTTGTTAAGTAGGCAGATTTACACTGTCCAGTAAATGAATCAACTCCAAGTAAAATTAAAAAATTCAGTCCCTCAGTCCCACCGGGCACATGGGACTAGTGGCCGCCACATTGGTCAGCTCAGACACAGAGCATCCCCGGTCCCATCACCTCAGAAGGTTCTGGTGGACAGGGCTGGTTCCATCTCTTACTTTGTCTGGTTGGAATGAGAACCCACTCAAGGATTTTAAGAGCGAGAGCAACATGGCCAGGTATTTGCTTTAGAGAGAAGATTTAGGGGCAGTCTAGAAAGTGGATTCAATGGGTCCGATGCTGGCAAGGCTGACCAACCTCGGAGGGAATAATCGGGAGTGTGTTGATGGTCTAGGTGGAAGGGGAAGCATTGACCTAGAGCCCCATCAGAACTGGAGAGGTCGGGCTGGATTTGAGAAGGGTGAGAAGAACACGCTGTATAAAGCATGCAGGGCTGCCTGGCCGGCAGGTGAGGAAGGAGGGAAGGTTTATGTGGTGCTCAGGTAGTCAGTTGCCTGGAGGTGCCTCTCAGAGGTTCCCAACCAGGATGATTTTGCGCCCCCCCTCCCCGGGGACATTTAGTCATATCTGGAGACATTTTTGATGTGGAGTCTGGGGGATGCTGCTGGCTTCTCATGCAGAGGCCAGGGATGAAGCAGAGGCTGACAAACATCCCACAATCCACAGGACAGACACATGGTTTCAGTGCACACGGCTGAAGTGTTTTATCACCAGCCCTTTTCTTTAATGCGGATAATTACTCACTGTGTGACCACAGTGGTTTCTAGCAGGTTTGGCAGAGAACCGGAGGTCAGGATATTTTGGTAGATGGACACTGCAGAATGTCCTGAGCCGGCCCTGTGGCCTGAAGGGTGAGGGCACTGGTGGGAGTGGGTGGGGAGTGGGAAGGACACGTCCCCAGGCTTGACAGTGGCCCTCCGAGGGTGGGTGATGCCAGTTGTCTCTGACACCAGTCCCGAGGTGGGGGTCCCGTGACAACTGATAGGACAGTCTAGACGGTGTTGGGCCCAGCCATTGTCGGCCCCGGAGGATGACTCATGGATCTGGGCCTTGTTAACCTGTTTACAGTGAGTCATTGGAGCCCCTGTGGGCCTCGGTTCCCTCAACTGTAAACTAGGAATAATGGTAATCGCCCTGCTGCCTCACAGGGATGTGAGGTCTGAATCCAAGAGCCAACGGTGGCGAAAGGGTCGGGTGGACCATAAAGCACCGCCCAGGTAACATGGCGTTGCTCCATGCAGTGAGCAGTTTCCCTGCTTGTTGGCTGAGCCATTGCCCTCGAGAACAACACTGCCCAAGTAGGGACCTTCTGGTGCCTAAAGAGAGGGAGAGTGGAATCATCTGCAATGGTGTTGGACCCAAACATTTCTCTGATTCTGCTGACTTATCTCCCAAGTCCTCCTCCTATACTTCCCACCTTGGACATTTGACAGAAAAAAAAAGATGCCCATAGTTACAAAGGAAAGAAATGATGAGGGAAAAAACAATACCCAGGAATGGAAGGATATGTAACATGGGGCCACCTGACCCAGCTGTGATCTCACCGCCATAGGTGGGAACACAGACCTTTTGTCATCTGACCTGGGTCTATCTCATGGGCCTCCTGTCTCCTTTGCTGCACTGGTGAGTGGGGGCTTGGGTAGCTTTCTGCCCAATTCAGGCATCAGGCTTCTGGGAGTCCATGTCTGCCAGGGGTTGACTGGTGTCAAGAAGAGCAAGGCTGGGGACGGCCAAGAGGGCGGGAGGAAAAGAAGAGCTGAGCGTGTGCGGAGGGGTGGAGAGATGCCCCCAGGGGGCCGGGCAGTGACTGGACCACAGGTAAAAGCCTGGGGATTGGGGGATACTTTGGGAGTGCCTGCATTTCAGCTGCCTTCCACTTCTAGAGTTCCTCCTGAAAGACTGGGAGTCCAAAATAATTCCATCCCTGAGAATACCTGGCTCATTTTCTCTCTTAAACTGAGATCATTTGAGCCTCAGTTTCCTCATTTGTAAAATGGGGAGCTAATCCTCACCCAAAGTGCTGAATGGGGGGAGAAGTCGATTAAACAACAGGGGTGAGGTGCTGAGCAAGCACAGAGACGATCCCCGGGGCAAAGCAGGTGCTCCGTTAACGTGCTGCTGACGCCGTTGGACAAGCCCGGGCCTGGTGTCAGGAGACACGCCTGCTTTGAGCCCTAGCGCCGCCCCTGCTGGCCGGGTGCCTCCCCAGAACTTCTCCAGGTCATCAGGGGGCCTCATGCCTTTTAAGGGTCTGAAGCCACACAGATTCTTGGAGTGAAGCTGTGGAATTCCTGGGCCATAGGTACCCTCAGTGCCCACCGAGGCCAAGGGTTTCAAACTGTTTTTAGCCACAGAAGCCTTTGTTCAAATGCAAATTTGTGTAGAAGCCCATTATATAAAAACAGGCAAAACTGGGCTGGTCTGGTGGCCGCACAAGGTGAGGGGCTCCGAGGTCTATGTCCTGCTCACTTAGTCTGGAGGTCTGGGGGTCCCGTTCCCCACGGAACTTCCGTGAAACCCAAGGCTCCACTGTGGAAACTGATTTTAGTCTAAATGCCTTTTGGGGTTGGAAGGGGGAGACTGCCTGTCATGGAGGAGGAGGGTAATTGCTCAGGATAACTCAAGACGTCTTTTGCTTTCCCTTGTAATCAGGAGGGGTAGGTAGTTGGATCACCTCTGATTTTCCAAGGTGTTTTAGGCTGTAATTCCAGTCTAACACATGGCACCAGCGCCACCTAGTGGTAAAAAAGGGCTCTGGCAGCTGGAGAGGCGCCCAACAATTTCCCCAGGTGCAGGAGGCAAAGATGAGGCTGTATTCAGGTAACTCCACCTTTTGGCCAGGGCGACATCTCCTGGATACAGGTATTAAGAGGCATGGTGAGAAATATGCCCCCTGGTTCTGCCACTATACCCTGTGTGACCTTGGCCCCATCCCTTCCCCTCTCTGGATCTCATCTCCCCCATCTGCAACCTAAGAACTGAAGTTCTTAATGTAGAGTTTATGGATCTGTGGAGGGGATTTTGTGAAACCTCTGAAATTTTAAGGAAATTCTGTATGTTTAAGCAGTTATGTGTGGGTGAGAATCTAGATCTTTAATTGCTTTCTTAAGGGGTCTCTTTGGAGCCCCAGGTCGGGGTGAACTCTAACGGCACCCAGGGCACAGGAATTCTGGGAACTTCTCCTTCGGAATGTGCACAAGCATTCAGACAACTTGGATGATTCACATTTGGCAAATGCATCCAGTTTACCAGTTTACCATTTTACGTGGAGAAATCCTAAGGAAGCCAAAGGAAAATGAAAAGCAAAAGCTCCCCAGGTAAGTGCCAGCAACCAAGGAAATGCGGCTCAGTCCCCAGCGGCCTGAGGTTGGGACTCTGCAAACCTCTGCCAGCTAAGGGTGCTGTCTGGGCTTTCCCGCCCTCGATGGGACCGCCGTGGCCCCTGGGCAACTTCAAAGGTGGGGCTTGACAACTGGCAGAACTAAGGACTGTAGTCCTCGTGGTCTAGCCCCTTCTAGGGCCCGGTGATGGGCTCTTGTCTCAGGCTTCACTCGCCTCCCCTCACCTCCAAGGCCCATTGCTTTCAGAACTACTCCCTGTTAGGTGTCTCACTCTGGTTCCTTCTGCAAAGTGTGAAGTGGGAGATGGAGAAGGAGGAGAAGGGGGAAGAGATTAACTGCTGAGTGTCTGCTCTGCGGCAGGCACTGTGCTAAATATTGTACTATAATTAGTTCATCTGATCTCACAACGGCCTGGAAGGTAGGATATTCCTGCTGTATCGCTGCAGACTTTGAGGTTCAGAAATATTAAGTGACTTGTCCCAAACCATAAAACCGGCAGACGGGCTGGGGTCTGAGTCGCGTGCTGCAGTCAGCACATGCTGGGCTTTTAGGACTGAAGGTGGCTCAGGCCTCACTGAGAGCTGGGTGCTGTTGGGGCTGCCGAGCACTGAGACTTAGGCACTGGCCTGGCTCCCACGCCGGCCTTCCTGCCCACCCATCAGCCTAAAATTGCCCACTGACTCTGCTTGGATTTCTCATTTCCTGGGGTGGTGATGGTGACCGAGGATCTGACCCGAACACTCCCCAGACCACACCTCGTCTCTGCTCCCTCCAGGGCCTTCAGACCGCCCCTCCCCACGACAGGCCACAGCTGC